TAAAGAGAAATAGCGATTATTTCTAACTTTAAGGATGAAGTATGATAGGATGAATTGTGAAGAGTAATGATAAACGGAAAAATAAAAGTGTCCAGGGATGGGAATCGAACCCACAGTGTTCCGCTTACCGGCCAGATGCCATGTCCTAGGCTACCCTGGACATATTTTTCCGTTTGTAAATATTATATAGAGTAATTTAAAATACTTTTATTTTTCCATTTATCATTACTCTTCACAATTCATCCTATCATACTTCATCCTTAAAGTTAGAAATAATCGCTATTTCTCTTTAAAATAAATTTCAATTTTTGTTTAAAAGAAACATTCACGGTATAATTGCAATTTTCGTTTTACAATTATAAGCCGCATTATATTGTATTTTAAAACAAACTTATGCAAAATTACAAAAAAGAAAGAAAGTACAGTGTTACCGACTACCTAACTATGAAGAAAAAAATCAAAGAATAATTAAATATATTTTACATAAATAAATACAAAGAATGTTACAAAACGAAAAAGCTATTAGACACAAATTTTTCTTTTTCTTCTTCTTATTATTTTTTAATGAAGCAAACTCCCTACTCTCCTTACTCCAATGAAAATATGTTGGAAGGGCTTGGGGCTCATCAGTGTTGTTGTGTCCAATGAGGAGCCTCAGATGTCTCCATACATCTCTATCACAGCAATGTCCTCTATCTTGGGTGTGTAAAGCTGCTCACACTCGGCTCATCAGTGGTAATGGTGATTAGACTAGCGAAGCTACTGAGAGGGTTCATCACTGATGAGCCAGGCCCTGGTTTTTATCACCGTAGTAAGAACAGTAGGAAGTTTGCTCTATATTTGAAAAAAAAAAAAAAAAAACTTATAGTTTCATAATAAAGGAGATAAACAATTCCGTGAATGCCAATTCTTTTTATTGCAGACAAAGATGAAACAATCTAATCTTTAGGAGGAGTCTTTTAAATAGTTTTATTTCGTTTGAATATTTATCCATTTTAGGGGGGGGGGTGTGAAACAAATCCTTGTAGCACTCTTTATGAAAATAGATTATTTTTGTTTATCTAACATATGATATGTACGCGTGAATGCTTCACGAAAACAAAATAAAAAAAAAAAAAACTTTGTTCTACCTAAGATGGGATGTTACCAATCGAAATATATCGAACCAATATTTTTTTTACTGTTAAAAAAATATATATATAATAAAGATATTTATACAAATCTTATACTGAAATGATTAGAATTAGGGAGAAAGGCATGGCTCATTCAATTTCTATATTCATTGCAGTATAAGATCTGTAGAAATGGCTTTTAATTCTATTTATATAAAAGGCCGTACCTGGATCTGTAAAGGTAAGGCATTCATGATTGAATGAAAGATGTTGTTTCCATCATGATAGATCCAGGTACGCCCTTTTATATAAACTTGATGATTGATCGCCTTTTGACTCAAACTTTTAATTCTATTAAGAAAAAGGCATCTCCTTATAGTGCAACTGAAAGTTGCTGATGGCTTGTGCCATCTATCGGAATAAATATCAACTACTTTTGTTGATTTTTAATTATTCCAGAATTGGCCAAATATAATAATTCTATGTTTTTTTTTAATAGCGTTAAATTTTTTTTTCGATAGACGGCGCTATAAGTTGAAGATGATATTTAAAATTGTTATTGTTTTAATCCTAAATATGTGCCCCTTTCTAACCAATTAATATGTTTGAGAAGGTAGTTTGTGATCTCTGTATGCTCCAGGAGCCTGGGTTAGCTAAATTAATATATTAACAATTATAATCTCCCTAATTTCTATAGAAGAAGAAACCCAAGTCAGGGAGAAGAGCTTCTTTTATACAAGGACGATTGTACAAGCTTTCAGGCAAGACGTCCTTCTACGGGTACTACGACCCGGGCGTCTTGAACGAAAGCTTGTACGATTGTCTTTGTATAAATAAATTAGGTTTAGAGCTAAAAGGCAAACCATTAAATATAAATATGTAAATAGGAGGATGTACAGTGTGTTAAACCTGTCTATAGCACCCCCTCTAAATAGCGCCCGATTTTAAATACGTAGTACGATGCGATTTACATTAAAAGTGACCTGTCTATAGCACCCTATTTTGGTGAGTCCCAAGAGGGGGCGCTATAGACAGGTTTAACTGTATATGGATCTGTGAAAGAGAAAAAAAAAATTGCAAAATATTTCGAGAAATCGTGTGTAGGTGCTTCCTCTTTATCATTCTTTTTTTTTTTTACAGACAAAAACTTACAGTATTTGGTTAACCCAGGTTCCCTGAGTGTATTGAAGTTGCTAAACTAACCTCGAAGTTATTTTACAAATTCCTGTAGATTTACGTGGAAACAACTTTATTTGTCAAAATTCAATAAAATTGTAAAATGGTAAACATGAAGAGTTTCTTTATTGAGGAACTGCGAGCTTTTGGACAATAACGTTCTTCAACAGGCGAATATTACACAAATAATAATTATTATATGTATGTCACTATTGTCCATTGTATATATACCATAAGCTAAGTTGCTTGTTTTTTGAGTGGTACCTAATTAAGGTTTTTTTTTTTGAACTGAACTGTATTATGTGTCACCGAAAAGTTTTTCTCAGGTTATGGAAGGACGGGGGAATAACTTCTATATTGTACTGCTATTCTTTGTGTTAGATATTGTTACTAGAGTTGTTTGAGTCTAGATAGGAGTCTGGTGTAGAGAGGGCCAAGAACTCTCTATCTCTAGACATGAAGTAAGAAGAGGGTCAGTGGAAGAGTGGTCTAAACTGTTGGTTTCCGACCTCTACGACCCCGGGATCGAATCCCGCATTGGGTACTTTTTTTCTAATAATAATAATAATAAAAAATTCTCTCCAAATGGCCCCCGATTCTTGCAAAAGTACAACCTCACCAGCGAATGCAAGTAACTATACAGGGCTATGGCATACTTGTAAGCTCAAAAGTCGAACTGCGCTTTCTACAGGTGTAGATATGTGGTGCACTTACAATAAAAAGCAGTTGCCAACTTCTACTCGCCATGATTATCATGGCCATGTGTACTAGGGATAAAAAAAAAAGACAAGAAGTATGGGTAAACATCGATATCTTCTCCCTTAATCTGATCCTTGTTCTCTGTGACGAATAAGAGTACTATTATAAGAATTTAAAACAATTTTTATACGCGTACGATTCTTATTTTCAAAATTAAACAAACTTCTACTGCCCTTACTGCAATGATGAAATTAATGGGAGGACCTGACAGCAAGGGAAATAGACAATTTGTTTAATTTTGTAAAGAATCATCGTACGTGTCTTTAAAATAGTTTCAATTTCTTATAACAGATGGCATGCTAATGCAAGCATAGTATAAGAGTACTATTATATGAGCTAAATGTGACGGCGGTGGTAGTTATTCCATGTAACGCCATGATAATCATAGTCTTCTTCTTCTTTCTTATCTCCACTCAATCATATTACGATATCAAGTTGTGACCCTTGATGGTGTCTGTTTGACAACCATCATGATTGGGTGAAGTAGAATGGGTCTGCCTTTGTCATTAAGACTGGGAGCACTACTCAGTGGCAGGCCGACTTAGCTCCAAAAGAAATGGTCGCCTCTGACATGAGGAACAGACGCCATGTACAGCCGCTCCTAACATGGAGTACAAACGCTGCTCATCCTGTATCCCTGGATTAGGAGTCCTTACAGAATACCGTCAGCCGGGCCAGCTGAACCCAGGTTTTTTAGTGAGCTTGTTACTGCTCCTCCTTTTTCATCCGGGCTTGGGACCGGCAAAAGCAGAATTGATAATCATAGTAAATAGTAAGTAACTGCTTTTACTGTAAGTGTACCACATATCTACATATGTAGAATCTCAGTTGGACTTTTTATCACTTACAAGTGTGCCAGAGCCCCTTGTAATTACTTCCACTTACTGGTGGGTTAGATTTTTTTGGTAAGAATCAGGAACCATTACACCAACTCCCCATCTATCTTAATGGTGAATCTGACAGAATAAACGGATGCTACAGCACCCAGGCGTTGCCGAGTAGTCACCCTCCCAAATACCGATTGGAGTTGTGAATAACTGTGTATCTAAGACAACGATAATCTCCCTATTCATTATAGAAGAAGAAACACAAGTCGGGGTCTTATATAAAGAATCTTATAAAAAATCTCTTCTCCCGACTTGTGTTTCTATAACTTTATATCTAATGGTGTGTGTGTGATAGAAAGGCGTCTCATGATCATGCAACTAAAAGTTGCTGATGGCTTGCGCCATCTGTCAGAATAAATATCAACTAATCGTTAATTATTCCTGAATTGGCCACAAATACCCTTTCATGATTAGTCAAGAAGATGCCTTTCTATTAATTTATCTACCTGAAGCCGGGACAATTTACCGTTTGTACTTTTTTGATCATATTGTTTGGCGTTCTCACGATTTCAAATACCCGCGTTCGTTGTTTTTTTTTTTCAGGAAGCCTCAAAGATAAGCTTTTTTTGGTCGTTAAGATATAGCCTGCACCATGCTGATGAGAGCCAACAGCCCGAAATGCGTACGTGGTTAGCTTTTCTTGATTAATAAAGAAAGTGTATTTGGCCAATTATGGAATAATTGAAAAATCAACGATTAGTTGATGTTTATTCCGACAGATGGCGCTAACCATCAGCAAGTTTTAGTTGCACGATCAGGATATTCCTTTTTTCTTAATTTATCCACCTGATCCCAGTACACTTTCGCTTCTGCACTATTTAAAAATATATATCTAATTGATTTCGTGACTACAGATCTCTTCGCTATGTATTGGCAATAAAGAGTTATGTTGGGGATTCAATCACTTAACGAAATAGTTAAAACACGTTAAAAAAAGAAAGGATGTTGGAAAACAATAAAATTGACCTTTAGTCTGCGAGATAGAAACTTTGATAGGATATCAGGGGGAATCTCCTGGAAGTGGTCTCTACTGTACTGCTAGACAACTCCGCGGAATTTTGTAGATACATGGGTAGATCAATCTTTCCTTCCCCAAGTCTCTCTACATCCCTTCAAATCCTGTAGATACTTTCACGAGAGACCGGTAGATCAATACACGCGGGTAGATCACTCTTTCCTTCACCAAGTCTATCTACGTACCTTCAAATCCTATAAAATCTTCCGCG